ATCTATATGTCAAACTAGCCTGAGTGCCAACACGTGGAATTCCAGCTTATGTCTAACATGCATTTAAGAAAACCAGGAATTTCAATAATACTTATAATCTGCAAAATTGACTGGTCTTTGTCATTTACCCTGAGGCCCTTCTTATCGCAGGAGAGTGGTTATAATAACGAAAACTGTTAGTTCCTCTCAGAAAATACCAATACAACAGCATGACTTGTGATTTCCTCTTCAATAAAAGTATTCCCTTAATCATAATTTTTAATATTGAAAATCATGAATAAAATTAATCAATTTTTTTTTTGGATAATATTTTAATTATTTATATCTTTAAAACATATGCAGGCATTATACACAGTTGAATACTAAATTTTCACAGTATATTGATTGTTTTTTAGCATCAATGTATTAATATTCTCTTGAGGAACTGTCTCTAAGTTATATATTATAAAAATAATATTTTAGCTTAAATATAAAACTTTTCCTTGATTTGTTTGAGCTTATGGAAAAAAGTTTATATTGTTACAAACTAAATTATTTGGACCAGAATTATCACATTGATTTTCCCATTTGTACACTAGAAAAATTGAAATACATGGCCATTGAAAACACTTATTTAATTCAAAATCCATTACGGAACATATTTAAATTTAACCTTATTAATTCTATAAATTTGATTTTAAGGGGTTTTATTTTACACCTACAGTAAAATACTGGTTAAGAAAAATATGATTACAATCAATAAAAAAAAATTAATTTTAAGCTTTAACATGATATCACCTAAAATGTTAAAATTTACTTATTTATATTCATGAATAGGCCAATATTCTCAAAGTTTTTTTTTTCTTACAGCAGCTTAACAAAGATGACCCCTTTCACTTGATATACAATTATCCAATGAACCATTTAGGTGTCACCTTCTCTGGCCAGCCTGGTCATATGGTCTAGTGCATAGAAATGCACACGGTGTGCACTTCTAGTTCAGCTCTAGTGCACTAGAAGTGCACAAGGGTGGGAAGTTTAGTGTGAACTCAACTGTATGTCTATGGACATGGAAAATATTTGAACTATTACAAAAACTTTAACGTAAATTCTAAGTCGAAAAAGGGGCATAATTCTGTCAAAATGCTTGATAGAGTTACCTCCTCCTGTCTACAGGTTGGGGTCATGATGGTGAACAAGTGTGCAAAGTTTCAAAGCCATATGTCAATGGACTTTGAAAATATTTGAACTATTACAAAAACTTTAACATAAGTGGTTACGCCGACGCCGACGCTCGGGTGACTGCAATAGCTCTACTTATTCTTATCGAAAAGTGGAGCTAAAAAGTATAATTAAATAAAATTTAGTTATTAGTTAAAAGGAATTATTGATAAAATTAAAAAAAAAATGAAATAACCTTTATATTAAAATTACATATTTAACTTGATTTTAACTTTCAGCACAATAAAACTTTAACAAAAAGACCTTTTGATCTGTTAGTACTGGTACAACATTTATGTAGACTGTATGTGACCAAACAGGGCATGAACACTTGTTATAGAGAACTTAAATTATGTCGCTATAGACCAAATTTCAACAAAAAAAAACCTTGTATCGAGTTATTCTTCATAGAAAATACCCGTTGATACATGCTATTCATGTGAACCTTAATCCCAGTGTCTTGTCTGAGAGAGGTCAGCTTTGGTCTCTATATGCTGGGAGATTAACCATTCATTAGCATTAATTAAAGGATCGAAGTACATACAGGGAGGGGTTAGGGGTCATCACACAACCTCCCTTGGATTTTGCTAGTATGTGGAACCCCTCTTTTTTTTATTATCGACTAACACCTTTTACCTTTTACAACTTTTTAACCCTTTTTTTCAAAATGAAATCACCCAAAACCTAGTGAAATCAGGCACAAATGTGACTCTTGACCCCTTCCATAAAATTAGTAAAATGCCAAACCCACTTTGGATAGTCAAAATTATACAAAATCCTCTAGCTCTGCGCCTAAGATTTTCCTATACCTCATATTATTCAATGGTACAGAGTTATCTTTCCTTTGAATAAATTTTCCTACTGACACAGCAGTAAAGTATAAGTTTGTATAAACAGATCTGCTTGTATTTCTGGCATGGCAGTAAACAAAACTTTCATGGAAATGCTTCTTTGTTTTTATATCTTACAAGTCTTCAAAGCAATTTATTTTATTCCAGGGGGTTCATTTATGTGTTTTCTATAAATAACTAACTGAATGAACCTGCATTGATAAAAAACTTGGCCTCAAGTCTTTAGATTTTCAATTTTTTTCAATGAAATAGAGAACATTTGCATGTTTTCACAAGTCATTCATAATTACACTTGAAGAGATCCAGGTACACTATGGTAAGATTAAGGCAGTTTTAGAGCAGCTTAACCTGTCCTCATAAATACTGTGTCTGCTTTATCTTCACCACATCAATGTTATCTTCACCAAGCTCAAATAAAAAGTAAACACAATCCCGCAAATTAGCACAGGAAAGACATGCTTCTTTAAGCTACGTGACAACAATAAATCACAATATTCCATGAGCCCCGCTGGTATGACTGCCACCGTTTCTAGGATGCCACTGAACTATCAAAGTAGGCAAGTCAACAATAGGGGTATCTCTGCTCTTTCTCTTGTCCTCATATTAAAAAGATTGAGGAAACAAGGTCAATTTAAGGTCAAAATTCCTGCAAAGAATGGAAAGTACTTTTAATCAATATGTCAGTAATATTTTAATTCCCCTATAACTCATCAAACACAACAAAGACGTCTGATTCTTTTAACTGGCTGTCTGTAGCATGACATATGAGAAGCGTCATACTTGCCCCCTGCTTAACATGATCAACTTGTGTCAGTTCTCCTCAATGTTTGGGCCCCACTTACATTAGTAAGTACATATTATCATTTATTAGCACATGCTGCCCATGCTTAAACTTGCTGGTAGCCAAATCATTATCTCATAGGGTGAATAGGAACTAAAACAAAACTTACTTTGTTCTTTCCCCAAGCCTTCTTTTCTGATAAATTGTTATAATATAAAGGTAAAAATCTTTAAAGGGAGAGTTATTGTTTGCAGAATGGGTGCAGTTTGTACACACTGCATTCAAATTTGACACTGATGAATGCTAAGCCAATCTTAATGAATTTCTAATAAAAATTGATATATACCATTTTGACCTTGATGATTTCCTTAGGATATCTGACTTTGACAAATATTTATCACAAACATGTGACCTTGATGAAATCAAATTTGACCTTAAGGGATCCAATTAGCTAATTGTATGATTATCTTTTAAATTTAATGAATAAGAAGCTGTCCTAGATAAATGCCAGTCTGATATTAGAAAAAATGTTTAAGATAAAAGAGAGTCCATGTGACCTTCATAAATTCAAATTTGACCTTGATGAATGACATACATAACCAGGGGCGTATCCAGCTTTTTTCAACTAGCAGGCCCATAAAAGAGTCCTAAGGGCTTAGTACCCAGAAGCCAAAAACAAGTTCAGATTTAAAAGAGCAAAGTATTTTCAATGAAAATTATCGAAACAATAATTTTAAACTATGAATTTGCTTAGATGCAAACTTTTATTGAGGACGGTAATTAAATCATGCATAAGCCTAAAACACACTTGATTCGAACATATGGCTGGAACACACTACCAATCCCATCCACCCCTGTTTTTATTGCATTTTTGGGACTTTTGAAAATGTCAATTTCTTGACCAACTTGTCGGCCCAGGCCTACATGGCCTAATAGTAACGTAACGCCACTGGTAACATGTGATCAGTTTATAATTTGTTAACCTACAATCTCTGTCTCTAAATTATACTAACTTTTATGTGGTGACACTTGGTTATTGGTCAATATTTAATGAGATGCCACTTATGTACTAATGAGGCTCAGTAATATTCCATATATCTGTTACTTTATTTTTGACAAACTTTTCAAAAGACTCTTGTGCCAAGCCACTTTGATTTTATAAAGTTTGTAGTAAAGCAGTATTATTTGTACCTTAACATGAAAGTTATCTTCTTTCTTGTTAACAAAACGTTTTTCTTCCCATTTCAGAATAGGAAACCATGTTCTATCTATTTTATCATCATATCAAATTTTATAATCAAAAGAGAGCCCCTTTGAAAATGTATACTTAGCATTTAGGTGTTATATTAACAGAATACTGGACTTTTGTTATATGTATGGAAACTACAAATTTGTCTTCAACAAGAGCTGTTTGTATCATCACAGATATCATATAACACCTATTAATAAGTAATTAATGCAGCCCTAATTATGATTTTTATCTCCTTCTGTAAGATATTTTTGGGATAAATAAACATCTTTTAGCACCCCTGTATTTAAAATGGAGAATTGGCTATTATAATTATAATGTAACTTGCTTTCAATCATATTAAATTTTGAGTCTCCTTTCAAGAAACTGGCACTGTTATTATAATAAAGATGTGGGAAAAAATGTCAAAATACTATATATCCATATTGTTCCCTTCATATTCGATAATTACCGATAAAAGGTCATTGAATATTCAAATGTCTCAAGTCAATATTGCCAAATGAAGTATCCAAATTTCTTCAAGTTCCCTTTACCAGCAACTTAATTTCTGTTCATTTACTTTTTTTAAATCTATTTACCAGTGTTCTAAATTTATCATTTTTTATCTATTTTTTATCTATTTTTTTTCAGTTTAATTTGTCTCCCCTCAGCAAGGTCACATGCATTACTTTTCAAAGTTTTTTTATCTTGAAGCACTAGTTCTCAGAAGTGCCTCCCAGGAATTAAACTCGGTTATGATCGAATATCAACTTAGAAAACCTAATCACTTAGTAAATAAGATCCATAAGTTTAATGTTCAGATATAAAAATGTAACCTCTAATTATATGTACATATATCTTTAGTTATATTAATGTGAGTATTATGGATGAAACAAATTAGATATTCCAAGCAGATTATACAACAGTCATTCCACTATACCTAGATAGTTTCTGCTCCGTTCAAGCTCTGTGATGTTGACATGGCAGGAACCCGCAGGTATACGAGTGATCTGATTGTAGCCGTATTTAAGAGTCCTGCGTGTATAAATGCCCGCAATGATCCGGCACGACTCATTATCTCCTCCGCATACACCACAATGGTCATTCTTTAGTCCTGACCCAACCACGCCATCACAGCCGACAGCCTGAAAATAAATATCAACAGATAACATAAAATTTTGTACATGATAAAAATACACAAGTACGTCTTAATAGTTTAATTATTTAAGGTACACCTGTAATGGTTAATCTATTTTGTTCCATATTTCATACTACTACAAACTAACACTAATGGGATTTGAACCCACAAGATTGACTAGCCATATATGAATACATAAACCATTTCAGGGAGGTCAATCAAATTTTGGTTATGTCATGTATTTATAGTTAACTTTTATAAAACACTTTTAACAAAATATCATTCATTTGAACAATATGTACATATTTAATGTACCAGTCATTTCTCATACAATATGAACCAAATCTGAATGTAATTTGGCCTTATCTTTTAACAACAGGTTGAATTTTCTTATGATGTAAGTCTGGACTTTAGCAAATATATGTAAAAAAAAAATTATTATAGTAAAAGATTAGAGAACTTTTGTATATAAGGTGAAGTTTTCATGTCAGAATGTTACTGTTAACTAAAGGTTTGGTGACTTTCCACCTTTAAATGGTTGAGGAAGACTACAGGTACTTCAGGTATAACTGGCATTAAACTAGAGCCGTGACCGACCTTTCGTAACCTTAAGCTTCTTCACATTAGTGGTGGGCGGCAATTACCAGTAATTTAGATGTCAGTAACTTACAAAAAATTAAACCACTCGGCCACAGACGCTCTTCAAGTAATTGGATAAGAGAGCACTTATTGTTTTTGCCTTTTCTCCTGAAGTTCTTGAAATAGACTTTTACTTTTTTAAACTAAAAGTAATGAACTATCAAGTAAGTAATTATATCAGAATTATCCAGATCAATATACAATATTGTGAAATGCGCAATGAAGTCTTCCTAAAATACAATTTGGTAAAGCAACAGGTAAAATTTGAATACCGTAACAGAGCCTGTCATATTTATGCCTTAAAACACTCTTAATATGGTTTTACAACTTGAACATTAAATCAATAACAATAGAATAAATAAATTATGAAAAAATTGTGAGATAAAAAAATTTAAGACTTTTAATGCCTTTATTATTTCTTCTCATGCATTGTAATGATAATATTTTACTTTGTCTAGACTGGACGTACTGTCGGCACTAAACAAATACACATGTTGAATCCACACACGCGGACATTTAATTTAAATTTTCACTGTTGACCTGCCATAATCATATACAATTTATTAAATTCTTTTCATTCTAAAACTAATACTTTTACAAATAATATATTCAAAGACACGAAGCAGCAGAAATTTAAGTACGTTAGCTTTTCGCCAAACGGTTTCGTAAAAAATTTCATTGGCGTGTTAATTATTATTTACATTACGATTGTTAAGCAAATGAAATAAAAAAGAATTTAGGTCAGGGCTAATTTCAATACTGATAGTAGGCTGACTTTAACACAATACTTGGTCTAAGTTGATTTCAATTTGTACAACCAAAAGCGAAAATTATGGAATGAATTATTTTAAATACAGTATAGGACATGATAACAAGAGGGCCATGATGGCCCTGAGGTCGCTCACCTGTATATAGGCCCCCCACAACGTTGCAGGGCCAATTTTAACCCAAGGGCTTTATTTGCACAAACTTGGTAGACACCCATAAGAAGATGTTTCATGCTAAACATCTTAGCTCTAGCTCATTGGGCTTTTTAAAAGAAGATTTTTTTTAAGTTTTTACTATACACATAATTATAGTTAAAAACAATGATACCCCTGGGGCAGGGCCAATTTTGACCCCAGGGCTTTTATTTGAACAAACTTGGTAGACACCTATTAGAACATGTTTGATGCTCAATATCTTAGCCATAGCTCTTTGATTTCTTTAAGAGAAGATTTTTTTTAAGTTTTTACTATATGCATATAGGGAAAATCAATGACCCCCCGAGGCGGGGCCAATTTTGACCCCAGGGCTTTTATTTGAACAAACTTGGTAGACACCCATTAGAACATGTTTCATGCTAAATATCTTAGCTCTAGCTCTTTGGGTTCTTTAAAAGAAGACTTTTTAAGTTTTTACTATATGCATATAGGGAAAATCAATGACCCCCTGGGGCGGGGCCAATTTTGACCCCAGGGCTTTTATTTGAACAAACTTGGTAGACACTTATTAGAACATGTTTTATGCTAAATATCTTAGCTCTAACTCTTTGTGTTCTTTAAAAGAAGATTTTTTAAGTTTTTACTATAATTTTATGTATATAGGGAAAATCAATGATACTCCTGGGGCGGGGCCAATTTTGACCCCAGGGCTTTTATTTGAACAAACTTGGTAGACACCTATTAGAACATGTTTGATGCTCAATATCTTAGCCATAGCTCTTTGAGTTCTTTAAAAGAAGATTTTTTAAGTTTTTACTATATGCATATGGGGAAAATCAATGACCCCCTGGGGCGGGGCCAATTTTGACCCCAGGGCTCTATTTGAACAAACTTGGTAGACACCCATTAGAACATGTTTCATGCTAAATATCTTAGCTCTAGCTCTTTGGGTTCTTTAAAAGAAGATTTTTTAAGTTTTTACTATATGCATATAGGGAAAATCAATGACCCCCTGGGGCGGGGCCAATTTTGACCCCAGGGCTTTTATTTGAACAAACTTGGTAGACACTCACTAGAAAATGTTTCATGCCAAAAATCTAAGCTCTAGCTCTTATGGTTTTTTAAAAGAAGATATTTAAAAAAATTTCTTTCGGTTGCCATCGGCAACCAGAGTTCTGCATGGAATTAAATTCTTTGAACAATTTTTAAAGGTGACCACCAAAGGAACATTCCTGTGAAGTTTGGATGAAATTGGCTTAGTGGTTTATGAGGAGATGTCATTTAAAGTAAAACGGACGACGGTCGGACGCCGGACGAAAAGCGATCACAAAAGCTCACCCTGTCACTTTGTGACAGGTGAGCTAAAAAGCAATGTAAAATTTTCAAATGAAAGCAATATATATGCTTGCTACGATCACCTGATCACCGTAATTGCAAATGAAATATAAGCTGTTAATATCTTTTAACTGACTGTCAACTGATTCACACTTTTTCTCAACATGTCACGCTGCATTTACATCAAAAAAGGGTAGCATTTTTATTTGAGAATATCGAAGATTAAATATAAAATCAAATGATGTGCTCACTGATTTAAAATCTCTTTTGATAATCAATAATTTGTATTCAGTCCCCAACTATGAAAATATGCAACATCATTAGATGTTATCAATTTTAAATGTTGTTCACTATTCAAACATTAAATGTTTGTTGGAATATCACAATAACCTTTAATCACCTAATGTCATGTAATGGACTTACCCTGATATTAATTTGGACCTGTCCATTGTTAACTTTTGGTATTTCTATGTCATAATGCCTAAATCAGGCAAAAATAAGCATAGGTCACTGACATGTCATAATGCCTAAATAAGGCAAAAATAAGCATCTGAATTTAAGGAGTCACAAAACAGGCACCTGAGTAGGAGTCACAAAGCAGGAACCTGAGTAGAAGTCACAAAGTAGGCACCTGAGTAGGAGTCACAATTAGAAGCCTGACTAGGAGTCACAAAACAGGCACCTGAGTAGTAGTCACAAAGCAGGAACCTGAGTAGGAGTCACAAAGCAGGAACCTGAGTAGGAGTCACAAAGAAGGCACCTGAGTAGGAGTAGTAAAGCAGGCACCTGAGTAGGTGTCACAATTAGAAACCTGAGTAGGAGTAACAAAGCAGGAACCTGAGTAGGAGTCACAAAGCAGGAACCTGAGTAGGAGTCACAAAGCAGGAACCTGAGTAGGAGTAATAAAGCAGGCACCTGAGTAGGTGTCACAATTAGAAACCTGAGTAGGAGTAACAAAGCAGGAACCTGAGTAGGAGTCACAAAGCAGGAACCTGAGTAGGAGTCACAAAGCAGGAACCTGAGTAGGAGTAATAAAGCAGGCACCTGAGTAGGAGTCACAAAGTAGGCACCTGAGTAGGAGTAATAAAGCAGGAACCTGAGTAGGAGTCACAAAGCAGGAACCTGAGTAGGAGTCACAAAGCAGGAACCTGAGTAGGAGTAATAATGCAGGCACCTGAGTAGGAGTCACAAAGTAGGCACCTGAGTAGGTGTCACAATTAGAAGCCTGACTAGGCGTCACAAAACAGGCACCTGAGTAGGAGTCACAAAGTAGGCACCTGAGTAGGAGTAATAAAGCAGGCACCTGAGTAGGAGTCACAAAGCAGGAACCTGAGTAGGTGTCACAATTAGAAGCCTGACTAGGAGTCACAAAACAGGCACCCGAGTAGAAAGTCACAAAGTAGGCACCTGAGTAGGAGTCACAAAGCAGGAACCTGAGTAGGAGTAATAAAGCAGGCACCTGAGTAGGAGTCACAAAGTAGGCACCTGAGTAGGTGTCACAATTAGAAGCCTGACTAGGAGTCACAAAAACAGGCACCTGAGTAGAAGTCACAAAGTAGGAACCTGAGTAGGAGTCACAAAGCAGGAACCTGAGTAGGAGTAATAAAGCAGGCACCTGAGTAGGAGTCACAAAGTAGGCACCTGAGTAGGTGTCACAATTTGAAGCCTGACTAGGAGTCACAAAACAGGCACCTGAGTAGAAGTCACAAAATAGGCACCTGAGTAGGAGTCACAAAGCAGGAACCTGAGTAGGAGTAATAAAGCAGGCACCTGGGTAGGAGTCACAAAGTAGGCACCTGAGTAGGTGTCACAGTTAGAAGCCTGACTAGGAGTCACAAAACAAGCACCTGAGTAGGAGTCACAAAGTAGCCACATGAGTAGGTGTCACAAAGTAGGCACCCTGAGTTGGAGCCACAAAGTAGGCACCCTGAGTTGGAGCCACAAAGTAGGCACCTGAAGAGGAGTCACAAAGCAGGCACCTGAGTAGGAGTCACAAAGCAGGCACCTGAGTTGGAGCCACAAAGTAGGCACCTGAGTAAGAGTCACAAAGTAGGCACCTGAGTAGGTGTCACAATTAGAAGCCTGACTAGGAGTCACAAAACAGGCACCT